ATATTTATTTTTTAGTTGTTTTTTTTTTTTAGGTGGACACAATGTCTTTATTTTTATGTGGTACTGAGAATCGAACCCAGCACCTCACACATGCTAGGCGAGCACGCTACCACTTGAGCCACATCCCTAGCCCTAAAAGATGTCATTTTTAAAATCTAAGAATATATAGCATAGCCAGGTAAATACAAAAAGAGTGATGGGAAAGAGAGTGAGTTTTTTCCCTGTAACATTGCCTAAAATGCTGAGAATCTTCTATGCATCCCTACTTCCTGCTTCTTACTGTCATCATATCCAATATGGTCAGTAAAATGGTCCTGTGTTAATTATAGCTGCCTACCACTTTTATATGGTAACAATACCCATCTCTTCCAATTGGGAAAGCACTGGCCTCAAATTGGTGGAGTGGGTAGGTACAAGATTCAGGCCTGACCAATCAATTCAACATCCATCTGAGGCAATGGGAGTCCACCTCAGGGGGGATTACCAAAAAAAAGGACTGTCTCCTGGCTGAGTTTTTTGTTGTTTTTGTTTTTTGTGATGCCAGGCTGGAACCCAGGGTCTCCCACATGCTAGGGAAGCACTCTACCACTGAGCTACACCCGCAGCGCCTTGGATGAGATTTTTAACATCATCATCATTATTATTTTGGTTACTGGAGATTGAACCCAGAGGCACTTAACCACTGAGCCACATCCCCAAACTTTTTATTTTTAATTTTGAGATAGGATCTTGCTAAGTTACTGAGGGCCTTTCTAGGTTGCTGAGGCTGGCTTTGAATTTGCAATCCTCCTGCCTCTGAGCTGCTGGGATTACAGAGTTGCACCACTGTGTCTGGCACCTTGGCTAAGATTTTAAAGCTACTCATGGCAAGCTTGCTTGCTATGTAACATGTCATCATGTGGTGACAGCCAATATGGCAAGAAAGTCAACCGCGAGGGACACCAAACCAAGGATGAAGACAAATTCCTAATGACTTCACTGGGATACAGGGAAACAGTCAGATGTGCCCCTGGCCTTTTTGTTTTTTAGAAACCAATAAATCTTCTTTTATAAATTCATTTTGAATTCAGTTTCAAAACTGCAAGTCAGAATCCTAACATCCTAACACTACCACTATTATCATAATTGTTATCTCGATCACCACCCCTTTTTCTCCTTCCTGGAGCCAGAAGCAAAAGTTCACTTCCTGAAACAGAACCTCAGATAATTGCAACATTCAGCTGGATGAGTGCCCACAGGAAATTCAGGGTGGCAGTGTAGGGTGAGGCAGTTCAGTTGGAAGCTCAGAGGTGTTTCTGGAGCAGAGGAAACACAAGGGCAGAGACCTGCCATTGAGACACAGGTTCTAGCCAATTCCTGGAGTGCTCACCTATCTTACTACAGAGCACCTATTGCAGATGCCTTATTAGACACAGATTAAAATTGCTCTAGTGGATGCTCAGCAGGCACCCAGTAGGTGCGTAATCAGAAACTATGATCCCTCTTTTTTATTTTCTTTTTGCAGTGTTGGGGATTGAACCCAGAGCCTCATGCATGATGGATAAGTGTTCTGCCACTGAGCTACATTCCCAGCTCCTATTATTCCTTTTAAAGTTTCATATTTGCATGCAATCATTCCTTTAAATAGCTCAGTCCTCCCAATAATAATGCAATTCTTAGCTCTTGTTCCAGGGCCTGTCCAGTTTTGTGGATAAAAATATTACTGCCGAAAATGATCGAAAAACATTATCTAAGGTTTTTCTGCAAAAATGGGGTCAGAATTCCAGGGAGAGCAGTAGTCTCTTTCCCTGGTTGTATTAGATTAGTAATAATGAAAAGGAAATAGCAGACTCATTTCTTGTAAATGAAGACTGAAATTTCCATAAGGGCAGAGACCCTATACTTTCTGCTTATCCTTGAAGTTGTGTTATCTGACAGGATGCTCAGCAAAATAAAAAAATTTATATATTTGTTAAGTGAGTGACCAAAATAGAGAAATGAATGAATGAAGCATGGGAAGTTTGAAAAGAGAAGACTAAATGAAGGTCTCAGAGTCAGGATCAGAAAGTAGCTCTGAGTGGTCTAGCTCTGGTGTTGACAGAAGCAGATCACTTCTAAAGGGCACTTTTTATCCTGTGATTCTTCTTCGGTCTTACAGATAAAGTGGGCATTCATCATTTTTGCTTGTTGGGTGTCCATTCCTTTTTTCTATTTGGTCCCCAATTTCCTTTTGGGAAATCACCTCTCCTCATTGTGTATCCTCTTCTTGGAGGGTGATGTTGGTAGGTCCCTTCTACCAGTGAAAGTGAAGGAGCCATATCCTTCTTCTGTCTGTGCCTGTGTGGTGTGACCTAATTCAGTCAATCAGATGCTCTCCGCAGGACTCTGACCCCTGACCAAGCCACCCAAGGAGGGAAGGGCTGGGTGGAAGTAATTGAACCTGCTCAGCAGAGTTCCTGCCACAAAGCCTTGTTGTGGTCCTTGCTGCCTGGCCTTCTGGAGCTTCAGGCAAGTCTCTGAGCTGCCGATAACCTTCCAGTGAATTATCTTCCATGTCAGTCAGCGAAAGTTGACTTGCACTGTGTGCAACCAAAACTCCTATCTGATAGTCTGATAGTGCAGGCTGGCTACTCCCCCTGTGAAATGCCTGGTTTCTTTCATTTCATTTCTCTTCTAGGAAGCAATCCCTGTTGCTATACAGGAGAGCTTCTCCTTTAACTTGCATTCCAAAGTATTGTTGTTTGTCCTTTTTATTCCTAGGTTCTATCTTCTTGTAATGGACGCCTTGAACTTCAACCTCCTAATGTTATAGGGAGGCTGACATTCAAGAAAGGCTTTGTAGCTAAAGTGGCTTGAGGAACCTTGAAGGAAGAGGAGAATTATGTTTCTTGTGTCCAGCACAGAACTTTGCATATGAATTCTATAAAGTTAGGATGATGAGGCACCTTTCACATAAGGAAGCCTGGAGCCTGGAGTGTTTCCTACTGCCTACTGAGACATCCATTTTTCGATTTAGCAATGGCATATGGAGCAATCCTATCATTTGTGAGGTAAGTAGCACAGGTATTAACTTCAGAAGATGAGTGAGGAAACCAGGGCTGGGTATACATGACTGGATCAAGACCACACATGATGAGTAAGTGGCAGAACAAGATAAGGAGCTGGAGTCCTCCCTTCAGGAAGGTGGGACTGGCTAACAGGATCCCTCTAATCTAGCCAGGTACCTTTACTCTTCTTAGGCTCCAGTTCAGACTTTGCTCTTTCCATCCTCTGCACTTGAGCTTTTGAAGGTACCCTCTCTCTAGAACACCCTCCCTTTCCTTCTCAGTTCTTGTTTTCCAAATCCTGCTAATCCTCAAGATCCATCTCGGTCTGTATCATCCTCTCAAGCCTTCTCAAGATTCATTCAGCTCATTATCTAAGCTTCAATAAAATCTCTTAGGTCCTGCTCCTGCTTCCAACAGATTCCTGCCCTGAAAACTTGCTATGTGGAAATTTGACTTGCCACTGTCATCCATCCTTCCTCACCAGAAGTCCTGTCACCCAGTTCCTCCTGGCCTGGGTCAGCCTTTTATTGTTTTCTTTATATGTGCACTTGTCTCTCCCTGGAATGTCAGTTTCATGGTGCATAATATTCTTTTTTTTTTACCCTAATCCATAGACTATGTTCACTTCAGGATCTTAATGTTTGTCCATTCAAATAGGTGTCTTCCCCACCTGCTCTTACTGTTCAGTTCCCCAAGCAAAACTGATTCCTTGTCAACCTGTTTCTAAAGCTCCAGGAGAGTAGGGGGGAAATGCAGGGACTCTATGAGGTGCAGTCAGCAATTAATAATAACCAGCACTTAATGAATGCTTCCTAATTGCTAGGTCCTATGCAAAACACCTTACATGTATTAACTCATTAGATCCTGATGACAACTATTATTATCCCCACTGAACAGAGGAAGACAAATAGAGGTCAGTCAGCTAGTAATGGCACAGCCAGGATTGAAACCCAGACTGACTCGAGTCTATACTCTTTAACTTGACACTAAATTCTTTATGGGTAACTGAAAGTCTCTTGCTGTAATGTAGATCAAACTTCTTCTTCTTCTTCTTTTTTTAACCCACTCTACAAAGACAGAACTAAAAGAGCTAGAAAATAATATTTACCATGCTCCTAGACTGGGTAAGATATTTTGATGCATAACACTTTACTAATATAATTCTAGCAATGAGTCTGTGAGGCAGAAAGTATTAACTCCGTTTTCAAGAAATTTGATTCCCAAAGTGGTTAAATATTCAAATTTTAGTGTCTAGTTGACAGAGTTGAAAGGTTTCTTGATTTTCTTTCTTCATTTATTTTTTGAATCCCCACGGCCTCATGCAAGCCAGGCAGACATTACCACTGAGCCATATCCACAGCCCAGGTTTCCTGATTTTCAAGAAGTCTTTAAAAGGAAGTGGGGAAAACCCTGACAGGGACAAACGTGAAGGGCACAAGAAGAGACATCTGAATTATTACTTAAGAAATGTGTTACGTGTGTTGCATATTGAAGAATGGTGAGAGATTGTCAAAAAGGCTATTCTATTAACACCCACAGGGGGATTTGCTAATGAAATAATGAGCTGCCTGTCTTGGGCTGGGATTCTACTTCCCAGGAGGCAATGGCAGAGAGGGCACCACCTGTCTGGGAGAACCAGGGAACCCGCTCTAGCGACAGGTTCAGCCCCTTTTTCTTTCCTCACACTCTCATTGGTTACTTTTTCCTGGACTCCGCCTCCTCCTTAGTCTGGACCATTAGGCTGCCAAGCCCTACACGACCTGGCTTGGGTCTCCAATCAGGTGCCAGGTCCACCAGTCCCTTCTAGAGAAGCCCCCTCTATGCGGGAGAGCCGCGCTGCTCTCACCCGTGATTGGCTGGGAAGCCGCACAGGTCCGCCTCCTCCTCCTCCGGATTGGCCAGCCGCCGTCAGGCCCTCGTCCCTGCGCGGCTCGGCCCCTCCCCGGGTCCCCCTTCATCACCCGGCCTTGGGCGAGTCGCGTCCTCCGGAGAGCGGGCCCCACCTCCGTGTGACGGCCGCACCGGGAATTGGCGGCGGCGCTGCAGCCATTTCCGGTTTCGGGGAGGTGGGTGCGGTGCGGAGCGGGAGTCGGAGCTGCCGCCGCTGCTTACAGAGCCTTCCTTGCGCCTGGTGCTGCCCGTAAGATGCGGCCGGAACCGGGAGGCTGCTGCTGCCGCCGCCCAGCGCGCGCGAACGGCTGCGTGGCGAACGGGGAAGTGCGGAACGGGTACGTGAGGAGCAGCGCCGCCGCCGCCGCCGCCGCTGCTGGTCAGGTACGATGGGACCTGGCGACCGGGTCGGGTCGGGGGCGGTGGGCCGGGACCCCGCGAGCTGACGTCGGGCGGGCCCAGGGGGCGGCCGGGCAGGGCGAGGTCGCGGTGACCGACTGCCGGGCTGGGCGCGGCTCAGGTGTGCTGGCGGCCGTGTCCGCGCGCTGACCCGGCCTCCCCAAGCCCCGAGGCTCAAGGGCGGCGCGGGGCTCCCCATCCCTGCGCGCCTGAAGGTCTTCCCCTCCCCCCGAGGCTTGAGCTCCGCTGCGAGCCCGCGGTTCCTCCCTCTGCCTGATCCCGCCAGAAGTGCGGGCGGCTCCCCAGGGGAGGCTGTCAGTGACCCTTCGGACCCAAGCAGGATCTGCGCAAGGGCTCCTGTATTTTTCACCCGAGGTTTCCTCCTCAAACCCACGAGGTAGTTGCGTCCTTTTAATAAGAATCCTGCAACCGCCCAAGGAAAACCACCCTTGGGGTCCTTAGGAGGCAAAGAAAGTTAGGAGATGGTGCCAGGTGGAAACACACCCAGTGTCTTCCTACCATATTCTAGACTTCTTCCACTAGCAGGACAGTGGACCATGGACCTGGCAGTGAACCTGCTCCGATGCCTAGAAAGCATTATCTTTTTACTCTGCCTGTGGAGGTGAGACACCCCCCCCCCCCCACGCTCCGGGTTGAATTAGGTGATCCTTTTGACCTAGCAGAAGTGCCATCACACAGGGGATTGTTGGCTAACTTGTGATGAATCTCTATACTAATTAATCAAGGTTGAATCATCAACCAGGTTCAGGCAGTTCTAAAATATTTTGAAAAGTTCTGAATTCACATTACTTATTATCAACCTTCCAATTCTCAGGGCTGCCTCTTCTGCTGAAAAGTGTTCTTAAAAAATGAGCTGGTTAAAAAGATGCAAGATTAATGTGACTGGAAGAGAGTGTTGTGATAATTTAATTGATTTTAGTATTTATAAGTCTTGTTCAGATGTTAAAGAAAAAAAAATTTTTTTAAGTACCCTGTTTTCTTTAGCAGCAGTGTGACTGTTGGAGTTTTTGATGGGATATCTTAATTTGGCCTTAACATAAATATTTGGTAACCCCCACCCCCCAACAGTAGTAGCTGTGATGGATAGGCCTGTTACTGTTTGGTGTGAAACAAACAAACAAACAAAAAAGCATTTCTCCAGGTCAGTTGAGATACTGAGACTATGTGGGAGAGGGTGGAGAATACGTGAAAAAGACTTGATTCCCATGAATTTGTAAGATGTCAAGATAGAGAGGTACACAGATTCAAAAGGTGAGTTTTCACTTTTTAAGAAATAATTTTGTGAAAGAGGGTGTGATAAAAAACAAGTGGTGGAAGAATTTGTTGTTTTCCTAGCAATATAAATGACTAATAAGACAAAATTGGTGTGGTATAGAATGTAATAGGGAAGTTTAACAGTTGGAGTTAGAAAACACTTCACAGTTGAATGAGTGAGGGAGGAAAAAGAAGTCAAGAGAAAACTGTTCACATGTTAGAGGTGCTGTATATTTGAGTGTTCTTTTCAGTCATCAGGAGCTATATTCTGATTAAATAGTCAATGCAATTCCTCCCTTTCCATAATATCTTAATTTAGCATTTGTAGGCATGATATTTCTTCAGAGGTTCCCAACTAATAAGGTGAAGGAGTGTCAAGTTACTAATGAAAAATCTGTGACTGTAACATCCTATGGAATTTTGGGAACATACTTTAGTGAACAATTTCCCTCAAGGCACATGGGTGGCATTTGGAAGAATGGTCTAATGGAATGCTCTAAGAGCTGCAATGTCCACTCTAGAAAACTGTTTTCCAGAGTCTTAAAAACAGACTTCAGACCTGTAGATCTGCACATTCATATAGAGGCATATTGTTTGAGTTTTTTTTTTTTTTTTTCATTCTTTCTCTTATGCAGAAGACAGATCTTGGTAACTTATTGAGAGCAATAGAGTATATTAAAAATATTTTAAAGTTGTTTTTGTTCAGTTACAGAGACTGAAACCACTACCTGTATTTCCTTATGTTCTGGAGGAAATCTTGCCAACCATGTCTCACAGTACATATAAGATGTTTGGCATAGCCGGGTGCAGTGGTGCACGCCTGTTAATCTCAGCGGTTTGGGAAGCTGAGGTAGGAGGATTGCAAATTCAAAGCCAGCCTCAGCAAAAGTGAGGAGCTAAGCAACTCAGTGAGACCCTGTCTCTAAATAAAATCAAAGTAGGGCTGGAGATGTGACTCAGTGGTGGAGTGCCCCTGAGTTTAATCCTTGAACTCAAAAAAAAAGATGTTAGGCATATAGGTGTGTGTCGATTTTTTATTAAATATAATATGTAGTGTAATATGGTAGAGATAAATGCATTTCCTCACATAACCTAATATTTGTCTTTTAATAAGCAGGAGAGAAGTTACAAACTTAAGATTTCCACATACTCTAGAATATGCTTCTGAGATGGATGCATATGCTAAAATGTCAACTCTTAGATTCAGGTTGAGTGTACTTAAATAGATGGTGTTAAAGGAAGGCGTTTGAAAACAATCAGACATTACTGTTTAGCAATGTCAGTAGTTTTCAGAAGAGCTAAATAGTAAAGCAGTGATTTTTTCCATTCAGATGATTGGGAGGAGAATCAGATTTTGAGGTAAAGGGTGACAATTAGCTTTTGAAAAACTTTGACAGAATTCTAATTAGAAAGAACCTTTGGGTAGGGCACAGTGCCACTCAAGAAGTGGGGACAGGAGGATCCAGGAGGATTGGGAGGATTGGGAGGATTGCAAGTTCAAAGCCAGCCTTAGCAGTTTAGTGAGACACTAAGCAACTCAGTGAGACCCTGTCTCTAAGTAAAATACAAAAAAAGAAAGGGCTGGGGATGTGGCTCAGTGGTTAAGTGCTCCTGAATTCAAACCCAGTACAAAAAAAAGAGGAAAGAAAGAACCTTGGGGTTTTATGTAATTCTTTTTGTAGGACTTTACTAAATGAATCTTGATACAGAATTCTGTCTTTTTAAAAAACTATTTATTTTTTAGTTTTAGATGGACACAATATCTTTATTTTATTGTGGTGCTGAGGATCGAACCCAGGTCCTCACGCATGCCAGGTGATCACACTACTACTTGAGCCACATCCCGAGCCCGAGAATTCTGTCTTATTTTTATTCTCCCCCCGCCTTTTTTTTTTTTGGATACTGGAGATTGAACTCAGGGGCACTCAACCACTGAGCCACATCCCCAGCCCAGTTTTGTATTTTATCAGAGATGGGGGTCTCACTGAGTTGTGTAGTGCCTCACTTTGAACTCACCATCCTCCTGCCTCAGCCTCCAGAGCCGCCGGCTCGGATTACAGGCCACTGTGCTCAGCTCTGTCTTATTTTTAAAGACTTCAGAGGATTTGAGGAAATTTTCTCAACGGTAAGTTACATTTTTCCAGTAATCTTAATCACCAAGAGTTTCTGTAAATTTAACATTTCCTTAAATAAATGACATGGTTTGGTTGTACCTGAAGTAAAATAATTTTCCTGATTGTTTGTTTTAAAACTCCATGTTAGCAGCACTCCCAATGCTGGGAGTGGTGGTGCATGTCTGTAATTCCAGTGACTCCGGAAGCTGAAGCAGGATTGCAAGTTTATGGCCACCTTGAGCAATTTAGCAAGACTTGGACTCAAAAAAATAAATTAAAATGAACTAATGATATCTGTCAGTGGTAGAACATCCCAGGGTTCAATCCTAGCACTGGAAAAAAAAAAAAAAAGAAAGAAAGAAAAAGAAAAAGAAAAAAGAAAAATTTTACTAGAAGGAAAAAAAACGACTTTTCAAGTTGTGTACTATGGAGCACACCTGTAAGCCCAGCTACTTGGGAAACTGACGCTGGAGCTTCACCCAGCCCAGGCTGGGCATCACAGCTAGAGAGACCCCATCTCAAACAAACAAAAAGGACTTTTCATTTTACCTTTCTCAATCAGTTAACTAGTATGAAAGGAAAAGATATTATCTGCCTTTGAGACAGTTTTGAACTTTCTTCTATTGGGAATTATTTTAATGATATCTTAGAAGTATAAGAGTCACTAGAATAAGTAGGATTCTATCTCAAGGAGGCACTGGAGCACAAGATTTCTTTTCTTTTTTTAGTACTAGTGGTTGAACCCAGGGGCACTTAACCACTGAGCTACATCCCCAGCCCTAGGGTCTCACTGAGTTGCTTAGGGCCTCCATAAGTTGCTTGTAATCCTCCTGCCTCAGCCTCCAGAGCCACTGGGATTACGGGGGTGCGCCACTGCACCCCACACATTATTTTAAATAGCAAGACGGGCAAAGTAGAAAGAACAAAGTGTTGGTCCTGCTTCTTAGAGGAAGTCAAAAAAATAACTAATGAAGGGTGGTTTACTAAATAGCTACTAGCTTTTGTTTCCATTGAAGGGAAACTGTAACTGGGGAATTAATGTGATAGTAGTTGAGGAAAGAAGTTGAGTCGGGGCAGAAACAGGAGGAGTAGCTGGAGTGGCCATTCTACCTGCTCAGGTTTGGCAGGGCCTGATAAGAAGCCCTGAAGGCCTCCAGGTTTTTCAGAAACAATGTAACTACTTAGACCTAGGAATAAGAATTTTTGTTTTAAATACTTTTTTGCTTCAAGTGGAAGAACATTTGATTTTCACTAGTTAGTTCTGAAAGATTCTAGTAATTTGTGGTATTCAAAATTCTCTCTAGTAAGAATTCTTGGGGAAAATAGGTAACTGTTTTTAAGGTAGCATTTTAAAACTTGGATGTTCAGCAAGGGCAGACTTGCCCACTTTGGGGGGAGGGCCCAGGTACCCTATAAGCTCATAGTGCATTCATCGAGAGGGCTAATTGGTTGGTTCAGTTAGGTTCAGTTTTTCAAAGAAAGCAGCAGTGTTTATTGGTAGAATAGGCAATTGAGAGGGATGGGTAGAGGCAGTGTCTGCATGCTGAGTGGATGTGCCTCACTAGATTAAATAAATGGTTTGTGACCTCAAAAGTC